TTTGGTTTTCAAATTTATTCAAGGTTCAAGCATATAGCCTTGTTGGCTTATGGTTTGCTGCTGTACATAGCTGAGTGCGCTACCAATCCCAAATTTCCAAGGAAGTGAAATATGCAAAATTGCACATGTAGCATGGTTGCTTGGTTCCTTTTTTATACATTTTAATTCACGTTGTACTGGTGTACTAAGTTATATATGCTGTGGCCCTAAATGCTGATACTTTCTTCTCTTAATCATGCAATTATTAGTGTGAAACTGACAGTGTAACATTTTGCAGCTGAAGTTTCTAATGTTGATGTGGAATCTGCTTCGGCAAACATTCAGCACCTAAGCCTACAGACTGAAGATCTAGTTGCAAGTAAATCTACCGAAGATAATCCAGCGGTTATAATCCCTGATCATCTACAACTTGCAAATGCAGACTGTGGGCATCTGAGCTTTGGTAGTTTTGGATCTGGTGCCTTCTCTGGGTTGCTTCCATCAAAGGTCCACAAAAATGGAGTGGAGGAAGTGCCTGTTCCAGATGAATCTCCATCAGTTGATCAAGAAGATGTCAGGTGAAAATATTTCCTTGCTATGTTCTGTATTCATGACAAGAAATTAGCCTTTTCTGATAAGGCCGGCCTTGCAGGAATCAAGACAACAATGTTGCTCTAAATTCTTCAACAAATGGGGACGTTGAAGCCAGAATTGGCACTAGCATGGAGAATACTGATGAACCTTCAGTTTCACAGCCTGATATTCTGACGCAGGGTGCTGTAGATGTGTCAAGTCTACAATACAATCTGCCATCAGTTTCAGATCATGTATATTCAAACACAACACAACCAAGTACGATGGAGAGCTCACAGGGAGACATACAAGTGCAACATCTTCCTCAGTTTTCAAGTTTACTGGTATGGTTCTCTTATACCCTGAAATTGGAGCACACAGAAGATCATCATTTCACATAGTTAACATCTCAGTTTTTCCTATTATTTGTCAGTTTGTCACCATCTCAATGTTAGCATATGTACCAACTTGGACTGATCACTTATATGAATCTTTCACGAATTTGTAATTTGATTAAGTTACAAAATTGTTAATTTAGCTTTGCTATTGAGGAGTTAGGTTAGAGTACGTATAATCTGCAGACATTATGACTGTCGTTCGGAGGATGTTTTATTCAGTTGTCTCTGTTTGGCTAAAGATGTTTTATACTGTGTCTGCTTTGATGATGAAATTTTACCTGTTTACCTCTTTAGTGTTGAATGTCCTTGGTAATGTGACAGGTTGATAGTCAATATATGAATATTAACTAAAATAAAATCAATCCTCTCAAGCTCAATATCATTTATTCTTGTTATGCATTTTTTTGACAAATTGGAGTTTTTTTAAAAAAAATTCTCATCCTTATGGCACTCTAATTTATTATTGTAGCAAGCAAATACTCTACACAACAACTTGCTGGGATCAAATCTTCCCAACCTTCGGGACTTTGACTTTTCACCATTGCTATCAACACAATTAGCTACAAAATATAACCCACCAGTACCGACTACCAGCTTACCAGCAATCTCCATGCAGGAGGTAACTCCAAAATCTTTTTTTACTTTTTGTTATCGTGCTTGTTCTGAAGTTTGTTGAATTTGTAGAAGTTGTAGTTAACAAGTTTAGAAAGAGGTCATACTCTCTATTTCAAGGATGGACACTTTATGTTCAGCATAGTTGAATGGATATAGTAGCATCAAGTCATCAAGAAGCTTATAGCTATAAACGTTTAACTATTTCTTGCATTAATAAAAGAATTGTAGGTACATTTTCCTGGCTGTTAAATGCCTATTTGATTTGGCATAGATATGTTAGCATTTCAGCTTGTATTCTATTTTTGAGTTCCACTTTGCATTTTATATTTTCCAGACATTGAAGCCAGGGGGATTCTCGAATGCACAACCTACACAAAATCTTCCCAGCGCGAGCATTCCGTCTGGGCCTCCTCTCCCACAACAATTATCTGTACATCCGTACCCTCAGCCAACTCTGCCCCTTGGACCTTTTTCCAATCTGGTTGGCTATCCATATTTGCCTCAAAACTACTATCTACCATCAGCAGCCTTTCAGCAATCTTTCTCAAGTAATGGACCTTTCCATCAATCTGCTGCTACCACTGGGGTGCCTGGTGTCAGTATGAAATATTCGATGCCACAATACAAGGGCAGCCTTCCTGCTACAAGCCCACCACAGCCTTCATCAGTGGTCTCCGGATTTGGAGGTTTTGGTAGCTCAAATAATATTCCTGGAAATTTCGGCTTAAATCAGAATGTCCCCTCTGCACCCACAACTATGGGGTTTGAAGAAGCTTTAAGCACACAGTTCAAAGATAACAGTCAATACATTGCCTTGCAGCAGGTAAGTTTCACATGCTTTGCCTATGTTCTGGCGCCATTTGTGTTTTTGTCCTGTCTGAGGATATTATACTACAAATACACTTGCACTTGCACTTTAACTGTCCATTTGGATTTCCATTTCATTTTTTTGGTGACTTCATTCGTGATGCCTTTCAGAACGACAACTCTGCAATGTGGCTTCATGGAGCTGCTGGTTCAAGGGCCGTTTCAGCGGTACCACCTGGCAACTTCTATGGTTTCCAGGGCCAGAATCAGCCAGGTGGCTTCCGCCAGGGGCAGCAGCCCTCTCAATACGGTGGCCTTGGGTACCCAAGCTTCTACCAGTCACAGGCTGGTTTACCGCAGGAGCACCCGCAGAACCTTACTGAGGGAACCTTGAACAGCTCTCAGACCACTCCATCTCAGCCATCGCACCAGATCTGGCAACACATCTACTGAGTCCTGCCCTCGTGGGAGAAGCCCCTCTACACTGCCAGGTGATCTGGTGACCTGGCATGCGCCATGAAATGAGCAGACTAGCTGAGCTGCCGTCTTGCGCGCGGAGAAGAGTGGACAATGCTTTCTACAGTTTCGAAGTATGTTGCTGTTTTTTCTTCTTTTCTTCTTCACTTGTTGCGTGTGTCCGGGGACTAATTTCAGCTGTTACGAGTTTACTCGATAGTGAGTTGCTATGTTGTAACGGTAAGTCCTAATTTCATCTAACAAGAGCTGCTTCTTATACCCTGTGTGATTCAACCTTTATGTTCTTGATGCCCCACTAATTTTACATGCTGGTCGCTGCACATCTCAAAGTATACTCCCATAAAGTAGCTGCTGATAAGCAGAGTCAGATGAGGACAAGCTGCAGCATGCAGGTGTTGCTACAAGTTTTGCAGGTTGCGTTGATCCACCTTGAGGGCTTTCAGATTTCAGAGTTCAGTCCCCATCCAAGAGCATTCTTCACTGGCATTCGGATATTTGCATGTGTAAAGAATTACTGGTTAGAAGCTGAAGTGGCCTAGTTTGGGGCATGGTACTTCATTCCTCTGGAGATAGCTTGTTTTGGGCAGCCAATGCTGCAAGTTTTTACCGCAGAGCAGAGCACTCCGTGCAAGCTTTATCGATGTTTGATGCCAATGAAAGTTAGAACGGGCTTTAACAAGAAGATAATATTTTGTGAGTATTTTTCCTTCCTTTTTCTTTTTTATTGCAAGGAAGTTTCTTTTCTGAAGAGATGAGTGGTTAATCAATGATTCATTGTTCTGCAATTGTCTATACAGGATTTTAAGGGGTTGTTTAGATTGATGCCATTTTAGACCATAGCATATTTTGGTAAACTTATCAAATATATATGTGCATCCATTTAGTTTTTTTTTATCAAACTTTGGTAAATATATAAGAAATCATACCAAAACTTAGCAATATTGTCAAATTGCCAATGCCAAAATTTGATAAGGATTATTTTGGGCATAATTTGAACAACCCCTAAAACATGGAGAAGGCCAAATATGGCCAATGCATGTGCCCGCAGTTCCTATCCGCCAAAAGCTTTACAGATAATTATGAAATATATTCTTTAAAAATGACATTGGTACCATGTGTATTTTACTCCATAACTTTCCAGTTAAAACTCAATCTACAGTCAAGAAAAAAAATTGTATGTGCAGACCAGGGGCTTGTTTAGAGTGCTCTCATAAAATAAATGCTTTCCGTTTCACTTAAAAAAGAGAGCGGAGCATGTTATAGTATTCTCATAAAATGAACTATAGAGATCCTACTCTATAACTTCACGCAAAACCTAGCTAGCTTTTTAGTTAAATTTAGGGGTTGGAGTAATAACAAACATTGCCCAAGTTTGGATTTCAATATTTGTGAAGCAACTTTCGTGTTACTAATTTTATACAGCGATATATGTCATAGCGATATGCATTTGAAAATGATTTGTCTAGACACGTTTTTTCCCCCTCCGTTCTTTACAAGTGGGAATAGTTACTTCAGAGCATGTTCTTAAAAAACAAAAATTAAAAATTAAGAGCATGTATAATAGTAGGGATGATCGATACTTTGACTTTGTTCATGTCATCTATTTATTAACTAAAATCACGGCATGGTCATAATGGTCATAAGTAGGTTAAAACTCTTATAATCGCCTAGACACCTTAGCTTAGCTCACGTTCCCTATTGGTGTGTGAATAATTCAAAACTTGATGAACTTTGCTTTAAAATGATAGGAAGAGCCAACATCAAAGGATAAAAAAAGCAACGTACCTATCAACATTGTGGTAACTTTTTTGACATCTTCAAATATATGTCCGTATATCCGATATGACACACCAAAACTTTACACCCTTGGATCTAAACACAACCTTAACTTCAATTCTTCACGATGAACGTTGTGGTATCTTTTCTGACACAACTTCAAACTCTAAAGGTAAAGGATTGATTATGCCACTTTTCACGGTTTGTATTTGTACTGGAAATCAAAACAAGCTTTTACCTTTTTGTTTCACACGACATATTTGTGCTCGTTGAAAACATATTAGGACACTTGCGTTACCTCTCCTGGTGCAAATAAGTGAATAACATACGGAAGAATGAGGAAACGTAGCGGAATAGGTGTGGTGGACTCTAAAATGTTCGTGGACCCTACATCTCTTGGCCCACATGTAAGAGAAACAGGTTCTCCTTGATCAAATCTAGATTATGGTGGTTCTCGACATTCTGTAACAGAAGTAGACCCGGTCCAACAGCATTGGTAAAATTTAGAAAGAACAGAGAAACTCCCGGTACAAATTCAAGAAAAGCTTATCAAGTTAAAGATACCTCAACTCACGCATTCTAACCGAAGCAAGTACATAAATCTCGTCAGAAATCAATCGCTTCATCTGCGCGAACTACTTTTGGACTGTAGCTTTCTTGCTTAAGAGGCCTTCTAAGTTGAGGTTATTGATCTTCGCAGCAAGGATGAAATCATTGTCAGTTAAGCCTCCTGCAACCATAGCAGTGGAATCACATCATTATAAACTAGAGTGATGGACTGATGGTGATTTCTGTTCTGTTACTGTGCTTATGTTGCTTCAGTACGGCTTCCTAAATCCTAACCCAATTCTCAACAACCAAATACTGTGATTATGTGCCTTCAGCTACAGTTGCTATGTCTGGTCCCTATTTCTTGACTTATCTCCTTTTAAGCATACAAATATTTTACATGGAAAAGGCAAATCACCAACAGACTAAACATCCAAGGCTCCAAGCATGTAACCTTTTTTCCATAATCCATAGAAATTCGGTTAGGTTTCAACTAATAGAGGGCAAGAATTTCTCAAATAAACATCTGAATTTTGATATTGTCCAAATAAAGAGCATAAATTATGCCATTATGGCCATCTTGTTTTTCTTGCAAAGTGAAAACTTAGTCAAGTCAATCAGAGTTCCTAAAATAGTGTATTGACTAATAGCCATCATTCATTAAGGTTTAGGAAAGAGCCATTTTGACCTTTCAGTCCTAGAGATTGAAAAGGTTAAACAAAGTTAAACAGGAACAACAGTGATCCCTTTATTTCATTCAGCAGCATTGGCTTCAACATTCACTGCTAAATGTAATGAGTCAAGTGTTTTCAGGTTTGGAAGGAACTTTGACTAAAGAACAAACCAAAATACTGAGAGATATGAGGTTTGATTCTTTTAAATGATCACATCAAAACAAATTGGCAAAACGAATGATATGCAAATCACTTACTGACAGAGTGAGTCCAAACATCAATTTTCACATTGTTCCAACCGACAAGATGAAGATCAGGGTGGTGGCCTGCGAAAGGACATCAAACATACTTCACTGGCACTGTTATTTAAAACAAAAATGAGATCCAAAAAATGTGAACAGTTTAGAAGTGTTTTTCATGCAACATGTAAATAAACTCCCAGCATACTAAATATAATTGTAGCATGCTATGACAACAAATGTAATGCATAGGTAGAAAAATGTGAGAAAACTAATAATTTGATTCTGATCACCATGACTACACTATATCAAATGTAATGCAATCTTTCTATTCTTCATCAATAGCCATAACAATTATAAGATATTTTCCCAAGTTCAACAGGAGCTAGCTTACTAGCTCTCCTCTCTATCTTATCTCATCCAGACAATAAGCGTAGAATTACATGCAGCCACGAAGTACTGCATATGAAATAGTACTAGCTTGCAGTAGCTCCACTTGGAACACTTGCTCTGCATCATATTGTTTAACCTTTTTATGGTACGTTTGGTGTCTCAAAAGAGGTATGTAAAACTGTGAACCTCCAAATCAACTAGTACTGTAAGAGAAGTTAGCTAATCATTGCTGACTTAATTTAACTAAGGAAACATGTGGTGGAAATAGACCATATAGATTATGCCAGTATGTATAAAAAGAAACAAAAGAACAGGAAACCTTCTTCCTCAGCAACAGCAGCAACAAGCTGAAGGAATTCAAGCCCTTTTACAAAATTCTTCACCTTCCATGCTCTGTGCAATTTCAGAATGTCACCTTCGGTTGCTAATTCCCAACCACCCACCTGTTTTCAAGAGTCAGTTGATGAAGTGCCAATAACCTTAATCAGACTCTTGACTACAAAATCATACAAGAATAAAACCTGTTCTAGCATCTTCTTAGCAGAATCTTCTGGCATGGCATGTATATCCTTAGAATTGCATGGAACACAAATCTTCTTTGCCAGCTCTGAAATAATAGGAGAAGCAGATCTGTGAGATTATACAGTAAATGACAGTATGGATTAACAAGGCAAGAGAAAGTCAAGAACAGAAGAATGGGGATCGATATTGCTACTGGAGAACCACAATATGGTGATGGGAGTATCACAGCTCCTGTACTGCATGCTATCAAGACATCACTATTCCCTCAAATAAGATGATAAGAATAGTATTCTGAATATCATTCAAAAAGCTAGAGGAGCAAACCAGGGGTTCCTGAATCCTGACTAGTGACTACATGGTTAAGATATCCTTTATTTGGTTATTCCTAGTTCTTTTTATCCTTCTTACTTAGGTGGATTGCTTTCTTTCTACCTGTTGCTGTCCATTTCTTTTACATTATAAAAAAAATCAAATAAGAACAACATGTTCATATATTTGAATACCCAGCTAAAATTTTAAAAGATTGGCTCATGCCATTGCACCCGTAGCAAAGTTTTGCAAAATATCAACAGAAAGGTCGAATGTAAAGTATTACTGCAAACGCATAAATTCTGGAGAATAGAATCGACATCACGTTTTCCATTCACCAAATCTGCCGGTGTCCGTTTAAATGAGAGAAGTTTTTTCCTCCTGGCCTTCTTTCACCCCAACTACGGGTATGGGCAGACGATTCATACGATTGCAGCAAGATGGTGTTGACAGAGCACCCACGGCCACGGCATCAAGCAAGACATTAGAGCGCCGCCGATGACAACTCAAGCAGGAGGGGAGGAGAAGGACACCATGGACACATGGCCGCGGTCTGGTGCGCGACGACGACCCGTACGCATGGTGCGACGGGAAGAGATTAGAGGACGGGGGGGAGGGGGGGGGGAACAATTAAAGGCGGTCGAAAGATGACCTGGATCGCCGATCGCAGCCGTAGACGACGACATCCCGACGACGGCGCGGCTCAGACGATCTTTCTCTGCCTGGTGCGGTGCCACCGCTCGAGGGCTCGGGCTCGACTCCTCCGCCGCGGCGCAACTCACAGCGCCGTTGTCCGCCGGTTCCGCCTACCTCGTCAAGCTCCTCGGCTGCGTGATGCCAGAGACAGGAATGGGCGAATGGCTAGTGTAGATTGTAGAAGAGTTTGTGCTTTGTAGATGGAATGAGTGAATGACAGGTAGTACAGAGTTTAACAAGAAAAGGCAAAGAAGAAGAACAGAGTGAGAATGAAATGTAACGGATACGCAATCTTCCAAAAATGCCCTACTTTTGTGATAATAGTATGTTTCCATTTATGCACGTTAGCTGCATTACTACTCCATGCCTCAAACATGTAATAGTTTCCATTTAAAAAACAACCAGTTGAGATGAAACTCTAGGTGTGAATTGTACGTGGGTGCACTAATACATGGACAGATGAACCGGATGAGTTCAAATGAATATCCTCAAACATTTCTAAGAAACTTTCAGGAGGCTGGTGTCTTACAAGACTACCTTGATTGTCAGGAGAACCATGGCACCATCTTCTACTTGACATTTTAATCTCGTCTTGACTTGCATACATCGGATGATGAGAACTGCATCATAGACAATGGTATTTCTCCACTCAGTTATCCATGAGACCATCAGCTAAAGCTCACTATAGCATAAAGGCCATAAGCCCATACAAGACGTCATACGATCTCATTTATCAACGGAACTTGTATCGAACCCAGAATTTGAGTGTTTTTTGGTCATTAGCCATGATTTAAATGGAGTTCTACACTGTGTCCTCTATGACTGTTCCCAACAGGAAACTTGCCCGGACAAAAGGTTTGCAAGTTCCAATTATAAAAATGAACAAAGGAATCGTCTTCCTATTAAATGCATATGCTTGCATATACTTGTACCAAAATGCCACGAAAATTTATCAGAAGCTTCCTTTCAGAAAAAAAAAAACTGTTTCCAAAAGCATATCAACCATGTTGTAATGCTTCCAAACCAAAATTAAAAGTGCATGACCGCTACAGCAACAATAGAATTCGCCGTACACCTAACAGGCTAGAGAACTCTTATTTTTCATGTTAAACAACAGTACTTGATCCTTACTTCCGTGCATCTTTCAAGTTTTTTATGGTGTTCTCATATACATCCTTATTGGTAGTATATATTAGGCAAAGATGTGCAGAAATACTCTGATTCTGAAACTACAACACTAAGTGATCTGAAACATATGCTAAAATCGAACCACATAGCATATTAATCTGTCATGCAACAGATAATTAGTGATCATCTGTGCCCAAAGGATCTGCAATTAACGATATAATTACAGATTAACATGCATAACCACCTCTCCCACCCCTTTCAAAAACAACAGCACGTACAACAATCCAGACCCCGACAAACCCACCCACGGTATAAAATTTCGAGCACGATTCAAGAAAGAGGTTACTCGTACCGTCCATGGCCCAGCAGCGGAAGGTTCTTGGATACGGTAGGCCAACTGGGGGCCGCCATCGCCTGCACAGGCAACAGAAAAGAGGCGGGTTAGTGGCGCACGGGAGGTGTTCGACGGTATGCTTACACGGCGTTGGTGGGGGGCTGGGCGGTGAGTTCTTCGTCCCCGCGTTTGGCATACGTAGTAGCGCGCCAGGAGGAGCCTCGCGTGCGCCATAGCGACGCCGCGGGTCATCGGCGACGGTGGGACGGCGGCGGCGCTCGCCGTGGGCTTGCGACGCGGTTGGGGGAAGAAGAGCGGAGGCGGCGGGAAGGCGGCGTGTGGGTTTGCCTGGCGTGTGGTAGCGCGTGTACCCGCTGTTTACAAATAGTACTACTAGTAGCCTTCGAGGCTTCGACGGGTCACTGACAGGTGGTCCCAAAATTGTCCTGAAGTTATTTTCTCTAACAGATTATTTTTGACAACTTCTACACGCTCGTGTATTTGCATTTTGATATTTTTGACTCAGCTTATTAGCTACTTCATCTGTCTTATATTGTAAGATATTTTAATTTTTTTCTAAGTCAAAATTTTTTAAGTTTGATCAAATTTATAGAAAAGTATAGTAATATTTTTTAACACAAGACAAACATTCTATGAAAATATATTCAATGTTGGATTTAATAAAATTAATTAGTTTTTTAAGTATTGCTATATATTTTTTATAAATTTGATCAAATATAAAGAAGTTTGACTTATAAAAAAATAAAAAAAGTTAAAGCGTCCTATAATATAAAACGAAAGAAGTAGCTTATATAAAAAAGGAAAAAATCCAAATGCTCCCCTAAACTGTAGAGTCTGTCTAGCACCTTAAACTTTAAAATCGGACATCCAGCCCCCTAAACTTTGTAAAACCGTTCATATTACCCTCTAAGGTGGTTTTGTATGGTGGTTTTTATCTAATTTGTATATAAATTTAATGAGTTTGATCACGTGACATACACATTGAACATATATATTAAAATCTTTAGTTAAATTTTTATTTGTACTACTTTTTAGCTCTCACTTACGGACAACTATCGACATAATAATAGTATGGTATCATTGTATAAATATAAATTGATGATTTACAACTGTTTATATGCAAATATGTTATATAAGTTATTTAATGTTGTTCGTTTAAGCATCCAAAATATGCAAAACCACCTTAGGAGGTAATATGAACAATTTTCCAAAGTTCAGGGGGTTAAATGTTTGGTTTTAAAGTTCAAGGTGCTAGATGGACTTTTATCCAAAGTTTACGGGGGGTATTTAGACTTTTTCCTATAAAAAATCGATACGCTTGGTCATCGCCCATTATTACCCTTGGTGATACACAGGCTAAAATGGGAGTGACACTTAATCGTTTCATGTTGATATGATAATATTTTAGAACTATTTACTTCCTCCGTTTCATATTATAAGACTTTCTAGCATTGCCCATATTCATATATATGCTAATAAATCTAGACATATATGTGTGCCTAGAATCATTAACATCTATATGAATGTGGGCAATGCTAGAAAGTCTTATAACCTGAAGTGGAGGTAGTATTTATTTATTCAATCAGGTTGGCTTTTAATATGTATCTATCAAAATATCGTGCTAGTAATGTGAATATAGCCAACGAACTTTCAACTCTGGAATAAAAAAATAGCATTATTCACTTTGGCTTTTATATGTAAGGAAGTTTACCGCCCATCAAATCTACTCTTGACTCCTTGTTTGTTTATATTTAGGTCCCTTATTGGCTCAAACTTTGTGGGGGTTTGACACTTTTAAGTTGAATACATAAATCAATTCAACCCAAAAATTTAAACCAATAAAAAAAGCAGGGCAATTCGCTTACACTTACATTAAGGCACGTGTTCTTACCCCATGTTTCCCAACTCATTCCCATCGTTTTCTGTGTGCACATTTTTCAAACTGCTAAACAATGTGTTTTTTACAAAAAAAAAAAGTTTCTATACGAAAGTTGCTTAAAAAATCTTATTGATCTATTTTTTAAAAAATAATTATCTAATACTTAATTAATCACGTGCTAATGGACTGTTCCGTTTTCCGTGCGCGCTGTTCTGGTTGGGAACAGGCTCGTGCGAACACATCCTAAGTTTCTAATGAACATTACCCGCATACTCAATTTTCCTGCTCAATATCCACATCAATTTAATGCTTTGTCTACGCTCTAAGCTAATACTACCTCCGTCCTAAAATGTAGCTACCTAGTATAGAATGTGATATTACCTAGTACTACGAATCGAGACAGCCTAGTACATTCCAAATTAGTAGTAATAGGTAATGTCACATCCTGTACTAGGTAGCTATATTTTGGGACGGAGGAAGTAGTGATTATAACACAAAGCTATTGAAACATTTGATAGGAGAAATGCCTACCAGAGTTGAAAGTAACACATGAACAAGTACTAACCAACTAGCCTTGCGAGTTGTAGTTCTTAGCTTGCCTAGAACTTTGTGTGATCATAGCAACACGCCAACAACCATTCCTGACTCTGAGCTCACATGGTAGGCAACATATCCTATGCACACAAGCCCTCACGTGTACACACGTGCACACCAACTAAAAAATGTCACCAAAAAATCTAGAAAAAATCATACATATACTTTCAATTGTATTACACCTAGGGTTAAAATCTTAACGTCAAATTCATTATATTTTAGCCGTAACAAAAAAAAACAAAAAATCTAACAGTTTTAAGGTTACAATTTTGTCATAATTTTATCTTTTTTGTTATTCTCTATGTAGAATGAATTTGAAGATGCGATTTTGCACGTAGATGTAATACTATTGAAAGTACATGTATAAATTTTTCTAGAATTTTTTGTGATAATTTTTAGTTGGTGTACACGGTGTGTACACGTGAGGGCCTGTGTGCATAGGATACGCTCCCCACATGGTAATGTCACACTATTTTCCTTGTGGAAACACCAAGCGACGAAGATGACCACAAGGCGTGACCATTTTTTTCTAAAAAGAAGCCTGAAAATGTGGATGTAGCTCACTGCATTTTTTCTTCGTTTCGTCTTGATATTCCGATTAGATCAGGATTTCACGTAATCACAGTTATTTTCTTCGCAACAACAAGAATGATGATGGCATGACGAAAATGCTAGCGGAGTTTTGTACCTTTTCTACCATGAATTGAGCATTTCTCCACCCCATTTTTATGTCATGCCTTGCGACCTGTAGGAACCGTATGGCACACACGAGCAAAAGACTTTTAAAAAATCCATCTACTCCTTTTGTCATTATTGTCCTCTAATTTCGTTTTGCACTCGCTTTCCACCGCTACGCTACCGCAAAAGTAAACCAAGCCAAACTGATCAAGCCCAGGCATGCAATCCGGCGTGACATTTTTCCAGGTGCATTCTCGCGTGAGCTTAGCAAAGAAATATCTCGTGGCACCTGTCACCCCTCCGCTGCCGATCCGACGGCTCGTACGACGCCGTTGGTAGGATCGGACGGCAAGGGGTGGCTCCAGAGTCCGCTGCTTCCGCTATAAATTGGCCCCAAGTGGGGGCTCCACGCTACAGAGCAGCAGTCTCGTCTGGAGAAGTGGACTAGTGGAGTGTCGTGAGTTCTTCGCTTTTGCTTGGCTAAAATCGCCGTTAGAAACTTGTGGAATCGAGCAGGTTTAAGAATTTTTCTAGTATCCACTCTAGATTTGCTTTGTTGTATGCTTGAATCAAATTTTTTTCGCTTGATGATCAATTTGAGCCAAAAACATGCCGTTTTTCTGGTGATTTTTTTTCTAGCAACTGCTTTGAAATTTGTTTCCTGTTTTTTTTTCTCACCAAAGCAAATTTGTACCAAATCTCACCGAAATTGGCGATTTAGTTGGGCAGTTGATGCCATTGTTTGTCGTCGAACTATGCAATCCCGATCGATTTCGTGTTCGTCGTCTCGCCTCCTCGTGATCCTTCTCTCCACCATGTGCAGCTCGCCGCGCAGCCATGGGTACGCGACGCGTAGGGCTCCTCCTCCTCCTCCTCCTCGCCGCCGTACTGCTCCAGCCCCTCCTCGCGGCGGCGGCGGCGGAGGGCGTGGTCCGCATCGCGCTGAAGAAGCGGCAGGTCGACGAGACCGGCCGCGTCGGGGGCCACCTCGCCGGGGAGGATGCCCAGCGGCTCCTCGCGCGGCGCCACGGCTTCCTCACCAACGACGCCGCCAGGGCCGCCTCGAGGAAGGCGAGGGCTGAGGCCGAGGGCGACATCGTGGCGCTGAAGAACTACCTCAACGCGCAGTACTACGGCGAGATCGCCATCGGCACGCCGCCGCAGATGTTCACCGTCATCTTCGACACCGGGAGCTCCAACCTCTGGGTGCCTTCCTCCAAGTGCCACCTCTCGGTGCGCGCCGTTCTCTTTGGTTGCCGCGGTTCAGGGGTTTTGTTAGTGGTTTGGTAGTGTTTGTGGTGCTAATTGGAGTGTCCCTTTCTGATGTTTGCTGCAGATTGCTTGCTACTTCCACTCGAGGTACAAGGCTGGTCAGTCGAGCACGTATAAGAAGAATGGTTTGTGCTTTCTACCAATATCTTCTCAGACTTATAATGTTGTGTTGCAGTGTGATTTAGTAGCAATCAGTGTTATCTCTCCAGTTATATTGATAATCTGATCGATCAATACTCTGTTGGTGGCTTGGTGCCTTTCGCCTGTTCTTATATAGTAGTTCTGTTGGCTCCAAGTGAGTAACTGAATTGGCATGACTAATTTAAAATTTCAGGTTGATAAAGTGCATTAACATGAAAACTTATTTGAAGCATATATCAAACTAGATGTTTTCTGCAATTTATTAAATTACGCTGTTTCTTGTGCAATTAATACTCTCTCCAACCACAAATAGGTAGCAATTTTTGCATCAACATGTTTGATCTTACTGCTCATATACAGTAGAAAAAATATCAAATCACTAGTCAGATTTATGTGTTTATGCCCAAATGGTACTTAGTGTTGGTTGGATGTTTATTAAATATGATAAAAGTATGATACTGTGAAATTATTTTTCAAGATAAGTTTATGCAACCCATTTTTGTATGTTGGTATGTCCAATATAATGAATAGAGATATCGATAGCTGAAGTTATAGTGGTTAATTACACATGTCCCAAAAACATCATATATTTTTATTTAACTTATTTTTTTGGAGAACATGCAAAAGGGTTGCATGTCCTTCCATTAGATAGAGAGAGTTCCCCAAAGCGTGTTTGGTTACAGACCTGGCTATATAAACCCTGGGTTACAGATCATAGGTTTATATCTTGCGAAAAGGTTCTAAACTTCGATGGCCCTTCATATCACCACGGTTTCGGCTCTTGTATTTTTAACAAGAGGGAGTAATACTGTAATAAGTTTCTGCAGCTATGTAATTGTGATTAGTTGATAATTTTTGGTTTGATGGATTTATAGTCATCTTAGATTGTGACGTTGACACCATCCTGATATTTATTCTGTGGACTCTACAGTTACCCGATCTATTCTCAGATAGGCCATTATTTGTACCATGATGTCAATTCTGTGAATCCAAAAACCAAAACTGGAGAAATTATGTAGTGTGAAATTGCCACTATGATACTTCCAGCTTTTTTTCCACTATGTTCTAGCAAAAACAAGAACCCATAACCTGTATTTACATCTTTGGCAAGCAATCAACTGAGTAGCAACATAGACGTCATGATTATAAGATGTTATTCATTATGTGCGTTAAATCTGTATCTGTTCTGATGTGTCCTTGGATTTAAACTGCAACAGGGTGTTAAGTTCATGAATATAATTTATCAGTTCTCCTTGGCAGGAAAACCTGCTTCAATTCATTATGGAACGGGTGCAATTTCTGGCTATTTTAGTCAGGACAGTGTGAAAGTTGGTGATGTAGCTGTGAAAAATCAGGTTTATCATCAGCTGTAACTTGCTTTCATCTTATATTCTTATGTGCATCCAATTCGAGAATATCCTGATTTTATTGGGTAACACTGCTAGGATTTTATTGAAGCTACGCGGGAGCCAAGTATTACATTCATGGTTGCAAAGTTCGATGGCATTCTTGGGCTTGGATTTAAGGAAATCTCGGTAGGAAATGCAGTGCCTATCTGGTGAGCAAGTCTTGCTAGCATCTTGAAAAAAATAAATCCATTGCACTCGTATGGTAATAGTAGCATCAACAATAAAAATGAACATTTTACTCTGTGTGTGACATGTATACCTTCATTCTGAACAATTTTTTGGAAGGAAAGAGAAAACTGAGTTTTAAGTGGGAACCGGCAAACCAACACCTATACAGATCAACTATGTTAGACTGACAGACTATCTTACTGTATTATATTGCAAAATGAAGACCATTTTGTACCGGGCTACCTGCATATTTCTCTCATCCTTCGAATGTGAAGCAGATTTCCTGTCACTGACATTGCAAAGCAAACTCATAGGTACAACATGGTGAGACAAGGTCTTGTTGTTGATCCTGTTTTCTCATTCTGGTTCAACCGGCATGCTGATGAAGGGCAGGGAGGCGAAATTGTGTTTGGAGGGATTGATCCTAATCACTACAAGGGAAATCATACATATGTCCCTGTCACTAGGAAGGGATACTGGCAGGTTGATCTCATTTTGAAGTTGGTTGGGTATGTTTTAAATTTCAATATTGATAGCAATGGTCTGTGCTGATAAAATTATCATTTACTTTCTGAAGTTCAATATGGGCGATGTCCTAATTGGAGGGAATTCCACAGGTGCTCAATTATCAATTTTTTTTCATGCTCACTATACCTTTATTTAAATGCAAAATGGTCTAATCTTTTTCTTTTTGAAAGGAACATAGTCTAAATCATTTTGGTTGTTCCCTATGTGTCATTAGGATTCTGTGCAGCTGGGTGTGCAGCAATAGCAGATTCTGGAACTTCACTGCTTACTGGTCCCACGGTATGGTGTGAACTCTTCTTTTTTTATAAAAAAAATGTCCATAAGCAAGGAAAAGTGGTCTGGATTGCATCTGATACTGGGGTTCCTAACATTGGTTTATTGCCTGAATCTGGATTTCAATCGTGTGTGAAATTCACATCTGTAAATATTTCTTAACAATCATTTAAACCACTGTGCTTTTAACTTAAGTTCTACGGCTTCTACCATTAGCACAAAATGTTGCATTTTTTGAGTACACCGAGTCATTGAACATTTTTATAGTTCTGTCAGAAAAGTTTCGTTTAGATTAAACATAGAGCATAGATGCATGATTTTATAATTTTGCAGGTTTCCTTTTGATCAATTAAGGTAATCCTACAATTAAATGACAAGCACCAAACCAACTGAATGGTATTCTACCCTTAAATGGCACAAACAAATATTCCTTGGGCCTTGCTTGGCAGGGCCCAAATCCCAGCTCATTCCCAGGGACGGTCAGGAAAGTCTTAAAGAATCACTAACTTCCCAAAAGGCTGTATAATTTGTTCCCAATGTGTACATTGCCTATTGAATTAGATAGATAACCATTTAAAGAACATCGCGTGTATTATCTAGTGTCAGAACTTTCTTCTGTGGTGGGTACATTCCTTCTTTTAAAATTAGACTTTGTCTTGATGAATCAATTTGGAACTATGCAGGCCATAATTACTCAGATAAATGAAAAGATTGGTGCTACTGGGGTAGTCAGTCAAGAGTGCAAGGCAGTTGTTTCTCAATATGGTCAACAGATCCTAGATCAGCTGCGAGCAGAGGTTTGCAGTTTTCTACATTCCAAAAGCATGACGACATGAAGTTCTCAAATTCGTCACTGGTAACTGAACTTTCTCTGGGTTTGTGATGCAGACAAAACCAGCGAAAGTATGCTCTTCGGTCGGTTTATGTACTTTTGATGGTACTCATGGTGTTAGGTAAGATTTGTGGATTTGCTGTTTTTTAGATATTGGGAACTGTCCAGCCTCTACAGTTGTGGGTTTACTGTGGATGGATAATTGAATGCGTAGCATTTTACTTTGCAAATTCCTAATGGTGTTTACTTGAATGCGAGTGCTGCTATTGTTTGTGCTTACTAAATGTACTAGATTATTATAAGGGATGAATTGCATTAAAGTACTGTTGATTTCATTATTCTTGATAACTGGAGTTGTTACTTATGATGACTAGTTGTGCTATGTAATGGCAGTGCTGGTATTCGGAGTGTGGTGGATGATGAAGTTGGAAAATCAAGTGGTCCCTTTAGCAGTGCGATGTGCAATGCTTGTGAGACAGCTGTTGTATGGATGCATACCCAACTTGCACAAAATCAAACTCAGGATCTCGTATTGCAGTACATTGATCAGGTTTGTTTCCTAGCTTGTAAGAGCAACGCTGCAGTGCATTATTATACAAACTGTGTGTAACTTTTCCAACCTTCACAGCTATGTGACCGTCTTCCTAGTCCTATGGGAGAATCATCTGTTGACTGCAGCAGCCTTGCATCCATGCCTGACATTGCCTTCACAATCGGTGGCAACAAGTTTGTTCTCAAACCAGAACAAGTACGTTTCTTCTCTATGACTCTTATGCTGTCTTTTCTTGGGAATTGCATCCATATTAGCTCTTAAGCTCAGGAATTGTTGTTTGCATATTTTAAGATTGAGATGTTTTTGCTTAGGAACTTTAACTCAAGATGTGATTTCTCCATTATCATCTTGAGTTAAAGTGATGCAGCCATATATTAGGGAAGAGCCCCGTAGGATGTATTCCCCCAAAAAAAGAACCCCGTAGGATGTTTATTTTTCTATTTTAGAATATACTCCCTCCATCCAAAAGTCTCATACATATTTCTTTTGTCATCGAGACCAAGGAGAAATTAACTCCTCCAATCTATACTCTGCATGCAAGTAATGGGGTTGGAGAATGGTTGCTTGGGCTCCGAGATATATGTTTGATCCAGTGATGCTAAACAAAGAGTCACTCTGTTCATTCAAGCCTTAGATGCATGGAGACTACAAATACAAAGCATCTCATTTGGAAAAACAAAAAATGAAATACATAAGAGACATTTGGATGGAGGGAGTAGTCCAATACTCCAATACAATGCTTATTGGCACTCCTTTTTTCTTTTTTTCAAATTGTTGCATGACAATCAAAATTTAAAATAACAACGTTGAAAAAAATTACAGCTAGATATAAGAAATGAGAAAATCAGCACGCCAGAAATGGTGGCAAAAATGCTTGTGGAACTTCCTATAGCTTGAGCCTTGAGGAAGAGGTAGATAATATTGTGTGTAAATGGTTCTCATGCATTCAAAATTCATATATTCTGTTTTATCTTCCCTATTCAGTACATCCTGAAGGTTGGTGAGGGAACTGCTACCCAGTGCATCAGTGGATTCACAGCTATGGACATTCCTCCTCCTCGTGGTCCTCTCTGGTAAATTATCCACCTCTCAGAGCGTTTTTGCATTTTTCACCATCAATGACCCTTTTTGTGTAGCATGTACTGCTCAAACAGAACAATTGCATAAGTAATCGTCTGTCCTGCTTGTGTCTTAGATACTTGTCATCCAACAAAAGAAGTGTATTCAACATTTTCAGAGTTCAGACTGTATGTTGAAATGCTCGAGTTTTCTTCTTTTATGATACTACTACTTAACAATCTTCGTTGTGCTTCACATTACTTAAAACAAATCCCCATAGACTGATAGACATGTTGCCCTTCACTGACCACGGGAGCTTGCTGTTGCAGGATCTTGGGAGATGTCTTTATGGGAGCCTACCATACCGTGTTTGACTATGGCAACCTGAAGGTTGGCTTCGCAGAGGCGGCATAATGCCCCCCATGGTGATCGGACGAGTCGGAGAGCCCTTAGCTTTTCAGCTCGGGTTTATCTCCCGCAAGCGTGTAGGTATATATTTTAGTGCATGCTCAATAAATATTGCTACTGTGATCTCAAAACCTGTCTGTTTTAATTTGGCTAAGCTAAATATAAGTAGGCAGAATTCAGACGACAGTTTATCACAGGAAATACTCCATGAGTTAGCAATAACAAAACAAACTGATAACGAGGAAAACCTATCAGTAATCGGTTTAAAAAAAAAAACTAACAGTAAGAAACAATTGATTATGAGATAGTAACTGCTACAAGTACTAGATAAAAAATCCTTATGACTGACAGCAAAACATCATTCATATAGGAGTATTATACTAGTGTGAAGTACGTAAGTAATTTGTAATCACTGGCTGGCTTCTTCCATAGCCAGGTACCATAAAACTTCACCACAGAGTGGCTACTTCGTGGTCCACATAATTAAGAACACCTAAAAACACACGTCCTCCCAAGGCACCAAGAAGGATGACAAATACTAATCCTTCTCTCCCGGATGAATCTTAAATCATCTCGAGGAGCCATCAACTCACACTCACGTACCTCCCACACATGAAGTAAAACACACAAATCAAACCAAGCCTTTCTTTCTTTTACTACCACTTTCTGGGCCTAATCAGCGGTCAATCTCTATTTCCCGCCGTTGTGTCGGCCCTTCCCCCTCGCCGGCTGGGCCTGCCTGGCCCGCGCGAACGCCTTGCTGAGGAAGCGCAGCCGCCGGCTGTTCGTGGTGATGACGCCCGTGGTGGACGGCGTCTCACCGAAGACGACCTCGTAGCCGTCGCGGTACGAGTCCATGCCGGGCACCAGGAGCTGCCAGAAGAGGCCCCCCACCGTGGCGCCGCCCCTCCGCGCCGACTCGTAGATCTTGGCGTACACCGTGCCGTAGAGCGCGTCCCGCTGCCCGCTGCTGTAGCCCGGGTCCTTCCACGACTTGCCGAACTCTGCGATCAGCAGCGGCTTCCTCAGCACCGCCTGCGCGTCCGCGATGTGCGCGTCCAGCCACCTCCCCATGAACCCCAGCTGCGCCTGGTCGTCCTTGCCCGACAACCTGCACGCGCCACACATGCATTTGTCGGTTTCATCACTTAGCATTTAGACAGCCATGGCCGTCGTTGATCGATCGATCCATCGACCGGTGACGACGACGACGAAGAGGTCAGTCATATACCATTGGTCGGGGTAGGAGTGGACGGTGGCGAAGTCGATGCCGGGGACCTGGTTGTTGGCGATGAAGTCGGTGCCGAGCTGGTAGCCGGAGGGGTTGACGGCGGCGATGCGGGACGGCGAGGAGGCGCCGTAGAAGCCCTCGAGGCCGACCTCCAGCATGTGGTTGCGGTCGATGGACTTGACGTGCGCCGCCATCTCGGTGATCCACGACTGGACGGTGCGGCCGGACAGGTCGGACTGGCACCTCGGCTCGTTCATCAGCTCCCACGCCAGGATGGTCGGGTCGTCCCTGTACGCCACCCCCGTGATCGTGTTCTTCCTCGTCAACACCGTCTTCGCCCATCATCATCAGACAAAAGCAAAGTTGATCGTCAGAAGCGTGCCGTGAGAATCAACAGAATTTCTAGAGAATTGTGGCATCTATATTTCCTGACTGATAAAGTAACGTGATCATGGAGTGGGCGCGACACTATTGAGCACTAATAAGGGCATTCCCAACCCAATAACTAGGATGGTGTCCATAGTATTAAATAAGTTGCCACTTAGAAAAAAAAATGATGTGACAAGTGAATAAATAAGGAAAGAGAAGGAAACCATATTTTGCATGAGACATGGTTTCTACACAACATCCAAAACATCATGTGAGATAAGTAGTATTAAATTGAAGTATGAAATAGTGGTGTTTGTATTGGAAAAGTGGTGTCTAGTACTAGTTTCTTGATGATGTTAAGTTTATAGAAACTATGTCTAGTGTTATGGGTTGTTATGGGTTGGACTGCACTAAAGCACTTATCCGATGGGGCCCTGTGGTGTTTGACCAACTGTCTGATGCAGCAGAGCAACGATATTGCAGAGGCATCCGACAGTGCAAAGAGAAGAAAAAGGTAGTGCTGCCATGCGCAACGTTCTGATGACAGAGTCCTGCCTGTTCTTGAAGAATTTACCACCACTAGTGTGCTTTTTGGAAAGTTCAGACCAGTCCACCGACAGTCACAGTATTAAATCAACAGTAGTATCTCCGCCTCACCGTCCTATTTCTTAGATTTAAATTTATCCTAACATAGTTATCATAATGAATTACTCTCTCCGTTTAAGGTTATACTTTAGTTAAAGTCAAATTGTTTTAAGTTTGACCAAATTTATAAAAAATAGTAATATTTTTTACCCAAGATAAATTTATTTAAAAATATATTTAATTATTAATTTAGTAAAACTAATTTAGTAATGTAAATATTACTATACTTGTCTATAAACTTAGTTAAACTCGAAGCAGTTTGACTTTAACCAAAGACAAAATATCTTATAATTTGAAACGGATGGAGTACTAATTATCTTATTGTCACTTCTGATTTAAATTTCTCTTTATTCTACCCTGAATCAGCGTACTGCTCTTATCTATACACCATTTAACGAGAGATACCTTATTTAGTAAATCTTAGTATACTCCATGTTAAATAACTTGGAATCATAATTATTTTGGGATTGAGGTAATACTTGACACATACACAAAAGAAAATTCAATACTAATACACAAAAGAAAAGACGGAGGAAGTACCACTAGTCCACTACAAGCCACAGTTGCCGCTCTGGAGTGTGCATAGGAATGCGTCTTCCCAATAAATTTGCGGCAAGATACTGTACTAGTAGCGGCGCATCACGCTGCATTTCAACGAACGCTCTATCCGTGTTTGCCTTAAATTGGTCATTCTACCTTTGCTATTCTCAGGGACGAATATTTCACCGCAGCATTTGCGGGTATATCAAAACAATGAGATAAACGTTCTTCTTGGTGAAACTAACCTCGATAGCTTTTTCTTCTTAACTATAGTCTATAGATCATAAAATGGAAACAACACAAAAATGAAACAAAGGAACCATCTTTTGAAATACGAAGGAAACAAAGAACCCCATATATCCTAGAAAGTAGAAATAGCTATGGTTTACTTCACGTACTAAACGGTAGATATTTTCTCGGAATTTATTGCCGCTGTTACCTTCACGTGGTTCTTGTAGAAGCCCTTAACAACAGGGTTGGTGAAGAACTCATCGTCGGACCCAATGCCCTGCCCCTGCGCTCTTGCCCAGTTCACATACTGCTTCCTCCCGCCAAAAGAGTCGTAGTTGTCCACAAGGCTCAGTATCACCTTGATCCCATACTTCCTAGCCTCAGACAGCACAAAATCCAAACCCTGCACAGAGAACACCAAGGAAACGGAAAATTAACACGCGAAAACCACACATCTCAAACCAAAAACCATCACCCCCAATAAACAAAACCATCACCATCACATGAACACATGCTCTGTTTTCACAGAGAGAGAGAGGGGGTGGGAGGTAGAGATGCAATGGAGGCGGCCAAGTAGACTTTTTTTTCTCACTTATCCATACTTTTAGCTTATTTTTTCTTCTAAATTTTGTACTAACATGCGAAAAATAAACTAGCAAGCGGTTTTTACACGAGTAGCGGGACTACCCACTTGAGAGGGACAATGTGGCTAAGGGACCGACCTTGAAGGTGTTCTCGTTGTAGTTGCCGGGGGACAACTGCAGCGCGTTGCCGCCGCCGCCGTCGCTGAACGCCCACGTCCTGGCGACGGTGAGGCCGTGCCCGGCGGCCTCGCCGAGCGCGGCGCTGACCTTGCCCCTCTGCGACGGGTCGGCGGCCAGCAACATGAGCCAGTAGGCGTTGAACCCGTTGGCGTAGTACGGGTTGCCGTCGAGCACGAACCGTGTCCCCTGCGCCCTCACGAAGCCGCCCCCTCCTCCCAAGGCCTCCGCCTCTCCTAGGCCATGGATGACGACGACGACGACGCACGCGAGCACCAGCAGAGCAGCACGATGAGCTCCGAGAAGCCTCATCCCTTGCTCTCTCTCTCTCTCTCTCTCTCTCTGCGTGTGCGTACTGTGTCTGCAGGGTGGCTCTCTTCTTTGCTTTGGATGGCAATGGCGATGAGGTGAAGCGAGATGAAAGAATGGAACTTGCAAGGAGGTGAAGGCTGCGATAAATAGCTGCAACTCATGGGGCGCCATGTCGTTCTCCTAGCTTCAATTCTGCGCGGCAATGCAAATAGAAGCTGAGTATCACTGTGGGGTCAGCTAGGCTCACTTGTCAGTGGGTCACTAGTGCCAGCTTCGTGCACATAGCAACCACCGGATGTGAAGGGCATGTCCTTCAGGCTATAGTTTCATAAAAAAAAGAACAGTTTAAAGTACTTTCATAAACTGAATTAGAGAGATAGCGAGTTTCAAAACTTCAGACTACTCCATAATTTTATTCCATAATAAACTTTTAAAGCTAAATTTAAATGTTAAAGCGTTGTTAAACAAACCCGCACAATACTGTACTACTCCATGGCTAGAACTTAGCTTTAGCTCAGCGGGTGGTGGAGGAGAGGGGTGGCATTAACTTTGTCGGTACCAGCGCGCCATGGAAGGAAGCAAAAGGTTCCTTTAATATTTGAGCATCCCACATGGGGTGGAAGTGTTGGACTGGGACTGGGACCGATGGTGATCAGTGTACGGTTTCTTTGGTAGGGTTTACCAAATCTATCTCGAGCCCAATCAGCTAGTAAATGGAGGGCACGTTTGTGGTTTCGGTTAGAACTGTGACTCTGTGAGTACTGTTCTAGCGAGTCCAATGCAATGCAGTATCCTCTGGGTCCTTGTTGTACGTAGATTATTAATTGATTGGTCCACGGTGTACTGTTTGTTGCCATCTGTTTTCGTTGCATGTAATAATTAACCGATTTTTGCTATATATTTACAGATGAATTTTTGTACTAAAAATTTATCAAATATAAATACAATATGATTGTGATGCAATTATATTGTATCTTGCATGTAACTATAAGGTCAACCACAATGTGTGCTAAAAGTAACCTTAAGCAATAAATAACTCTACAGTATATCACCTTAAGTATTGTGAAAGTGGACCATAAGAATCTGACATCAAAAATGAGCATTAGCCTTATGGTGTGGCAACAAGACTATAGAATACAATACTTTTGTGATGTACTGTTCACGCTAGTACTTTTGGGAAATTTTCATTGTGCAAAGAGTTTCACAGGAGGATAAGAAGTGATTTTTTTATCCTTCGGTGGGACCCATTGGGACCCAGCTTATTTTCTCCCATAGGCACAACCATTGTGGATATGAACATAGCTAATGCTTACTTATAGCGGGTCCCATATATATGGTTGATGGAACCATAAGCATTGGCCTTGCCCTAATAAATTTGCATATTACTTTCATATAATTTTAAACCGTTAGATTTATTTTAAGATTCACACATGTGGGAAAGAAAAAAAAACCACAGCACACACGGGTAAGATGATTTGGTCCTCTACGACCTTCACTTTGCGGAAATAGCATACTATCGAATGATTCTTAAAAGTTTTATATAAGTTATACTATACTTATATGCTGGTTACAATGTGATTATACTATATTTATATCTAATTTAAAGAAAATTCATAATATTTTTTTAGAAGAAAATTCATAATAATATTTTAGAAGAAAATACATCGATAAATATATAGCTTGTTCTTAATTAATTTTCATTTGGTTTGAGAATGGCTGATTACATATGCACAGGTTTTACATTGGTACAAGTTCAGCTATGGATTGCATTGGGGTAGGCTTATGACCTACGTACAGCTGATCCATGCCAGTACTGGTAGGTATACCAACTATGTCGAGCGGCCGGTTAATTAGTCAATGCCTACCCAATCGCGTGGTTCAGTTTGCCAATAAACTGATTTGTCAAACTCTTCCAAGACTTCCACTGGTTATAACTTACTCCAGTAAAGTATATAAAACAAAAGAGATGGAATTTTCGCCTGTGATGCGACGATATGCGCCCCCTCTAATGATCTACTCCTTCCCCATGTAGTAAACGCATTATTGGCTTTGCTTCTCCGTAAGCTTCCATTCATGTGAAGGGGGTAGTTTGTTGTTGTTCCTTGCCTCTCAGGGAAGCATGTGGATTCCCTTGTCTAAAACCCGTTGCTGCCAATGCTCTTAACTGTAGAGCACTGGTAGCTAGGGGTGGACAGGTGGCGTGTACTTGCAGACAAAGCAGAGCGAGTGAATCCGAGTATCCCACCGGGCCGGCCGGGGCACCGGCCAGCCACCGTGCGCGCGCGCATGTGGAGGCACATGGGGCGGGGACTGGGACTATACACGGGAATCCGCAAGGGGGACGGGCAAATGCACCGGTGGATCGGATCGACGTGCCGGCCTACCTCGCACGGTACCCTAACCGTACGTGCGGGTCGCGGTCGGCGAGGCGACCGATCGCTCTCACCGGCGTATTATTCATTTCCCCGTGGGCCGTGCCGCACCCCCCCCCCCCCCCCCCGCGCGACGTGCGCCGCTCTACGCACGACGTAATAATGCGCGCTCAAGCTCACGTAGGCGCGCGAGCATTAGGCTCACGACTCACGAGTAGGGTACATATGGGTGGTACGGTGATAATTCACGACTCAGAATACTATCTTCTTCTCTCTTTTTTTTTTTCCAATCAAACGCCTGCTGACCGATCGAGTGCGGAATTGCAGATAAACGGGAATCTCCATTGTCAAGTATACGTTGTCTTCGACACCGACAAAGTCCGGCCGTTTCCGGTCACCCTCATCACAGCCTAACCCATTTGTTTTTTTTTTTTCGCTAATCCATTGTTAGTGGACGAAAACGACAGACGAGACGTTACCGAGGTAAGTTACGCCCGTTTGGGGCCGGGCAAGGAGGCACCTACCCACATGGCGCGCCCCTGTACGCACCCCCAAATTAGTCCTAGTGGAGTACGTGCTTGCGCGCCGAGTCTGAGCGGTGGGCGGCCGTGCAGTGTGATCGATCGATCGATCCGCGCCCCTCCCCTCCACCGACACGCCCTCATCTCTCTCACCTCCGCGGTCAGAGTCCCGTCTTATCGCGGGCGCGTGGGCAGCAAGCAAGCAAGCAAGCAAGCCATTTGCCGCCGGTACCTCGCTTTCTTCTTTTTCACGTCGTTCCCTTCCCTTTTGCGCGGCGCACGCTGTCGCGCGCCTGTTTGCATCTCGTCGGCACCGGCTGATCACTATCAGAGTCCCCTGTTACTGGCATTAATTGATCACACACTGATCAGACGACGCCCGTAACAAAGGATGGGGAAAATTAAGAATCCGGTGATCTGCTCTGCAGTGATCGGACCATGGGCAGAATGTAAAACTTTATTAGGCCCCAGCCAGATCATGGTGTCAAACCTGATCATTTTAGTAGAGTAGCAGTGCACCTGATTGCACGGAACAAGTTCACTTGGCGCAAGAAAGCGCGTCTCCGGCACCATCTACGGGGTTGACTGCTTTTGGGGAGCAAATCACGCCTACCATCATTATGTGCCTACTGTAGGATTTAAAATGCGCACAAAGTAGTCCGCAGTACAGTTCTTTCTTTGAAGAGAAAATCCATTGTATACTCTAAAATTTTAGCTAATTCTTTCTATACTTATAAATTTTACTTACTTTCTTGTATACCTTAAATTTCGATTTTGATCACTTTCATACCTCTCCCGTCAGTTGACCGTTAGCTGACCGTCTAATTTATATAAAAATGATCATTCTACCCTTTGGATGAATATAGAAATTTTTGAATTACATTATTAAAAATATAAAAGCTTCTCGCATGAGACTATTATAGTTATGAGTTTGTTGTGCGATGCATTATTTATCTTAAAAAATAGGTAATAAAATAAAAAATCATGTATTTAGTTTTTTTTTAAAAAAGTCATAAAAATGAGGAGCATTCATACAAAGATAGGACTACAAATTTTCACAATAATTTTTATGAATGCTCCCGATAAAAAAAATCCATTGTCCTATTAAAATATCAAATAAAAATTTTAATTATTTCATTTGTTTTATTTCCAAAATTTATGTCAAAATTTCCTACACTAGTTTTTTTTTTAGAATTACACAGTACAACGTTGACACTCACAATGCACGCGCACGCAAACCCTACCCCTATGAGCATCTTCGAAGACTGGGTCGGCAAATTCTGGAGAGATTGACGAAGTCACCACAGGCGCCTCGCTGTCGACGGGTACGTCGCCTACGACTGAAAGCACAACGCCGTTAAATCCTGAAAAATTCGCTCCCATGGGGAGTCGAACCTAAGACCTCAGTAGCAGGCTACATGCCCTTTCGCTCCTACACTAGTTATTTAGTCTCATTCAAAATTTTCAATCGTCTTTGAATCGTTTTTTCAATCTGTGCACGCAAACAAAAATTTCAATCGTTTTTTAAGCTTATATTCAAACCTAAAGCATCAAGTGCAAAAAAAAAAAAGACATTTGCAACCAAATGTAATAGTGAAATGATGAAAAATATAACGGTAGGGACATGGAAGTGATCAAATTGAAATTTTAGGGGGTATAAAAGGGATCAGGTAAATTTCAGGGTTACGAAAGGGATTGAGTAAGTTTTCAGGGTACACAGGAAATTTACTCTTCTTTAAAAGGCGCAGATCACTATAAAACATCAAATGCCAATATTCACCCTAAATGCAAAATCACCACTGGAAGAAAACACAGGAAAAATAACAGACGACTGTTTCCGAACGCCAAGCTGAAGAATCAAGCGCCTGAAAAATGACAGACGGTAGTAATTGCCATCGCCCAACCGGAGTGCCCAAGCGCCTGAAGGAAAAATACGAGCCGACGTTGCACGGCCGAAAGCCCGAACCAGAATTCCATCCAGCCCAGAAACAGGCCGCCTCGCAGGCCGCATTCGCTGATCTGGCTGGGAGGACAAGTTTCTCTTTTTTTTCTCTTTGCTAATTGGACCCATATGCCACTGCAAATTTGTTGGTTCGAAAAAAATACCACATTCATGATATTAGGTATATACCACTGAAACTTTATAAAATTTAAACTATGCCACTCCGTCACCATTTCTGTTAGTACCTCTACCATCTTTAACAGGAAACGAGCACCGGGCGATACCGCTGCCAAGCACAAGATGGCGACAACGAGGAGGTCGTTGGCGAGGGCCAGGTGGTCTAAGGGTCCGGCAAC